TTCTGTCAAGGCTGTCCCCCTCTCTCTTCTCTTTACTCTCTCTCTCTCTCTCTTTCATGCGTGCACGCATGCTACCGTATATAAAACAAATAAACTTTTAAAAACAGTCAAGTTGATTAGAGCATTAGAGCGGCATTTCCCAATTCGTTTTGCTATTTAAGAGTACTAGGCAAATTCTAAATAATTCATTATTTTCTGCCAGGGATGATTATACATTCTACAAGACATCTACCGAAATGCTACTGTGCTGGGGCTAGGCACTAGGTCTGCAGCCATAAGCAAAATGGATACAGTTCTGGAGCTTACACTGCCTAGATCTGCAGTTCATTTCTTTCTTTTTTTTCTTTTCTTTTTTTGGAGATGTTTTTGCTATAGGGCGCATGTGCTCGCCAGAGAGACAGAGAGACAGAAAGCGAGAAATCACCCCCCCAGGGAGAATGGCCACGCCGCAATCTCTTCTCCTCCATTCTCCTCTTGGGATCTTGGGCACGCATGCACACGCGCCCGGCGTGAGTTTAAGCCACCAGGTCCAGGACTTGAACCATGGTCGACTACATGGGAGTCCAGTGACATAGCCATTAAGTTAACTGCTGGTCCCTAGTTCATTTCTTTTTTGAGTCACCATTCTTCTTAAGAGCAGAAAACAATCTAGACTCATCCATATAAATTTGGTCAATTCAATGTTTTGGGTTCTTTTAGTCATATCTGGTTGAAACTCAATCTGATTTAGGACTCAAGCCCTCTCCTCTTCATGATCCTTGTGGTGATGTTGAAGTCCAGAATGTGTCCAAGACTGAAATAACAATGGTGGGGGAAGAGGAGCATGCTTTTGGGGCTCTTGAAACATTCTGCACTGGCCTTCTTGGAGATGTGGAGCCAGCTTGTCCTTTACCCCTGCTAACATCCATAGAAGGGGCCAACTTCCCCGTCAGGTCTCCAATGGCACAATCCACTGTTCTTGTCATGCCCACAAGACCCCAGCTTCTACATTCATTTCTTTTCCTACCTTTCTCAGTTCTGAGGCTCTTGTCTACCAGGGGCAGAGGGGCAAGGTGAGGAACAGAACACGTGTTGCTCATCAAGGGCTCTTTCAAATCTTTCTGTCTCATACTCTAGATAAAGACT